GTCCCCCCAGCCATGGAGACTGGCAGCCCTCTGCCCCCACAACGCTGCGGCCCTTTGGGGCAGAGTCACCTCTCCCCATCAGTTTTGCCACTGATTTGGGGTCCTAAAGAAATAGGCAGAAACCCCTGGATTTCCCCCTTGCTGGTAGTGGTCAGGATGTCCAATGCTGTCAAGGGCTCCTGCGGGCAATGGGACATCCCTTGCTTTGCTTTGTTTGCACCTGTGGGAGCTTGGTGGGGTCTCTGGGGCTCTTGGTTGGTGCTGGGTTTGCACCTGCAGCAAGTCCAGCACCTGCAACTGTGCATCATCTTTGGCTTCTGAAGGCGGTACAAAGCGCAGCTATTTGAGTCAGGTGCCCAGCTCTGTGCGCCGCTTTGGCTATCTGCGAATCTGGGTGCCGCTCCTGGCATGAGCAATCACAGTTTTCCTCCATGGCTTGTCCACCAGCAAGTTCAAGATGGGCCTTTCTCCAGCTCTCCCACCACAGCTGCTGGGCCATGCTGCGGGGAAGCACCAGCCCTGAGGCAGGGGCCAGGGAGCCTGGCTCACTTAGGACTGGGGATGATCTCCATAATGGAAGCAGTCCCATTTGATGGGGAACAGAGGTGCAACCAGCAAAAGGGACCTTGGGCTGCACCCTAGGTGTTTTTCAGGGAGCTGGTTGGAGTCGCGACCCCAGTTCTCATCACAGTGTAATGGAAATTCAGGGTTACCTCCTTCACAGATGGTGGTGAAAGCCAACAGCAGTGAGATCTCACTCTGCTGGGTAACATCTCTTAAAGCTCTCCTTTTTAGAAAGAATAAATTGCACTTGCCAGGAAGAAGTCTGGAAAGGCTTGGAGTTAAAGGGACTTTGTTTTGGAAATTTCCTTCAAGGCAAAATGCTTTCACAAAGAAAAATGTGTTGGGCTCCCATCATTCCCTGACCAGTCGGACAAGTGCAATTGTTTTGTCCCTTGGACAATTAGTGTAATTGCTGCAGCTGTGATTCAGCTGTGCTCCTGTGCCAGGTCGCTTCTGGCACCGGGAGTCATCTCGAGGGCTGTACAAAGGCCCCCTCTCTCTGAGGTCCCCCTGGGCATGGCTGTGCAGAGGGACCGGCACTGCTCTTGGCTGAAGTTCGGACGCTTTTGGTCAAGTATTTCTCTGGGCATCTGGTTATGCTGAGCACCCACCAAGCAAATGCCTGGTGCAGGTAGTAGCCTGTCTTGAAACAGAGACAGATTCTTGTTTTCAGGCTGTCTTAGGGAAGTTTGGCCTTTACCAGTTGATTGAATTCAATAATGACAAAAGTCCATTAGGAGAAGCCCTCCCCTTAAGATGTCTGTGGCATTTTCCCTCCTGTGTCTGCTTTCTGCCTCCCCCACGTCTGAAATTTTGCTGTCAGCTCTCTGACGCAGGAGCCTTGCACGGGCTGGTGCTGAGCAGACGCAAAGACAATTACATTCGAACGCTTTGCAGTTAGGTTTGCTTATGACCATCTGAGGTATGTTACAACTTGTTTAGCCTGTACTAGGATTTTACGGTATGTTATATATTACTTAACGTGAGGTAAGCTATGCGGAGTGAAGCAGTGGTGACAGCATGGATAAGTGTACCTGTAGCTTTAGCCTGGTTTTTTTTGTGAGGACTATGGTGGAGGCGGTTTGGTTGAAGGAGATGTTGAAAATGCAGCTGGTTTCTCAATGCCTGTTACCAACTGCCCTCGTGCTGCGTTTGCTGCCTGCAATCGTGACATCTGTCCCCAGTGTGGCAGGCAGCTCCTCTCCTTTTCGCCTCCAGAGGTTTAAACCGAGAAGCTGCCAGCTTATGCTCTCGCCTCTCAAGTCAGGATATTGAAGGGTAGTATTTCCCTGGCTAACAGGAGCACAAAGAGAAATGAAGCTGGTTCAGCACAAGCTTTCACACGCGTTGGCAGCTAGATTAAAAGCCATTTAGGAGCTCTAGGGACATACGCTGGCTGTTTGCATAGGCATAACCTGTATTTGCATGGCCATATCTGTGTTCTTGTGAGATTACAGCTTCCGCAGAGCATGTGACTACAGCATGGAGTGGCTCTCTTGGCTTATCATGTGTACACCTCACTGTTTCAGAGGATGGAGAGGGCCTCGAGTTCCCCTTGAAAAATCCCAGTCTTTGTTCTTCTACCTTTCAGCGTACGCTGCACCTAGAGCTCAGCCAAAGCCATAAATATCAAGCAGGAGGTATAGGTGGACTCCCCTGGCCTGTCTTCCTCTGAGGATCTCGCTGTATTTAGTTGTCCATTAACCTGGTTTGCAGCAGAGCACTGATCTTACTAGTTTTCCCTGGCATTACTTGGTACAGTAGCAGAGCAGGAGATAGGACAGCTGAGGTTGCAAAATGCCTTTTTCCACTGTTGAACCATATAACAGTGTTCAAAGCTGTGCTTTGATCACTGAAGCTATAAAGCTTCCCTGTCTCTTGAATGCTTTCGGTAGCACTGAGTCAGATTTGAGTTCATTTTGTTCATCATGTAAGGTCTTGTGGATGGGTCTGCTCCTGCGAGATCAAGCACAAGACATGCCTTTGAGTCCTCAGAAGTCTGTGGTTGTATCCCTTCCCCCTGCCCCTCTGGAAGGCATTACTTTTTGACTTTGAAGCCTTGTCATGTCAGAAGATGGCATAACCCAGACCACTTCTATGTAAATCTGTCGGATTATATTGCCTACTTAAGGGCAGGAGTCGTTTGAAACAATGTTCTAATTGGATGGGGAAAAGTCAGGAGTGCAAACAGATTATGCATCTCATATTTCTGCCCATGAAGGAAAGGGAGCCGAAGTGCCAGTCAAACACACTGTACTGTAACACTGCACCTTAGGGAAAACTTTTCCTTTTCCCCTGAGAGATCTTTTGTGAATATTAATTTCTACTGTTTCAGTGTTTTAGTCTTCCAGGAGCTGTGAAAGTGCAAACATTAACCAACTGCTCTAGCACAGCAGCTCTTTCAGTGCAAGTGTGAGCATGTAGCCAAAAAGGTAACAGTTGTGAAGATGCTCTGTTTATGCTGCTGGTTTTTTGCTGGTTTAGGCAGATTTAGCATGAATACCATGTGTGATGTGATGAGTCCGGCTGCATATAATATATGCAGGCATCTGACGTGATATTTATTTACTGGAAAGTCACAGGGAAGGAGAGCTGATAAAGGCAGATAAATATACAGGTGTTTTACATTATACTTAAACCAAGTGCATGTACACGTGGTTTAGTTAAACATAAAACCCAAAAATCATTGCCAGATGTATTGCAATGTAAGACTAAATAGGAATTGTAATGGGAAATGTTTTTCAGTAACTTGTTCCTACCAGGAGGGTGGTGAATGCTTCATTTGATGGTGATTAATGATACTCAGCGCAACTGCTCAGACTGTAGGGGCGGAGGCTTTGCTAATTGGATCTGGAAATTCCTTTCCTGGTGCTTAAGGATGATGAAAACTTTCACAGCCAACTGGAGCCTTGTCTTCTTCCTGCAGTTGGATGCCAATAAATACAGCTCAAGTTAATAAATCTTGTATCAGGGGAAGAGATCTGAAAGAAAATTTGGACCTACTTATGTGGCATTATTAGAGGCATCTTAATATACCATAGGAGTCCCTTTTTGCTGAGTGTTGGGAGTTGCTCATTTAATCACCTGTTTGAACTAATGTGGTAAAGAACACAAACACAATTTGTGACCAGTGGTGTGTAGAAGCCACAGATACATCTGCATCGATCTTATCCACTTAATTTCTTCTTGCAAAATCTGATCAGATGTGGTCCAGGTATTCCCATACTAGAAGACACAGCTAGCCAAGCCTTCCACGGTGCCCAGAGCTGCCAGTGACTAACCTCATGTGCTGGACGACACCTTGTCAATAGATGTACCTTTAGGTGTTTCTGCGTTGTTTTACACTTCAACAGTTTTGCAGATGTTTGTCTCTAGCTTTTCAGCTAGCTGTTAGTGAGCTTGTTAATGATGTTTGCTAATGTCATATAACTATTTTTTAAGCTGCTTGAAGCCCTCAGGAACTGAAAGAGCATTATCAGCTTCCTCCATACTTTGCAACTTGCAGCCTTTGAGAAAGTAGTTAAAGGCTTTCCTTCTTATTGTGCTTCAGAAACTTTCAGGCTTTTATGTGAACCGAAATAGGCATTGTTAATGAGATGTTAGCCCATCCTCTGCTGCTTATAAAAAGTCAAATCTATAACAAGTTGGGTATCTCTTAATATTGAAAATAATGTAACAAATTTAACTTTGTTAATTTTTTGGATAACGTAATACAAAGTGCAGTAGGTGATATCTGCCTTCTTCACTTCCCCCTCCCTAACAAATTTATCCACTGTGTTAGTAACTAATAGAAGCAGCCTGGAAAATGATGAGACTGGTATGCCTGTGCCAAAAGGTCAGCTCTGCCTGGGGAATGGGGCAGGGGTTTTCATGGGATTTGTGAGATGCGCAGAGAGGCACCGAATGTGTAAGTCAAATAGGAGCCACAATGTAGAGGTAGGGCGCAAAAAAAAATAAGGAAATAAGGGAGAGGTGAGAGGCCTAAGCGCTGCTTGGGAGGGAAGAGAGGGCTTGAAATCCACAGCAAGGAAGAAAGGTGGGCATAACCAGGTGGGAAACCCAGTTGCTCCAGGAGCCAGGGCAAGAGCTCTCCTAGTCTCAAAAAGGAAGAGAACAACCTGAAGGAGAGAGAGGAGGAGACAACTTGGTAGAGAAATGCCCATCAAGACGAGGATGCCTTCAGGGAGGCTGTACAGAAATTCGTGATGTGTGGGTTTTGGTT